AGAATAAAACAAACCGATGACGCTGGATATTTATGTAAACAAAAACCTTTGGTTGAATTCAACTATAGCTACTTCTGTCCTCACTCCCACCTCCTCTAATTCCCAGTAAACACTGACTGGAAATGGTTTGACTTGGGAGCCCAGTTCCTTCCTTGCATTGATTTCTCTGCCCCTTCGCCTCTCTACCAATACTAGCTAGTCACAAAAAAACAAACAACTCCCCTCCCCCAAGAACATGGAAAAATGGAATAATCTCCAAGCAAAGTCAATGAGTGATACCAGAAGAGCTCTTTAAATTACAGAAAGGGGTTCTAAACTTTCTGGGCTATTCCTTGCTGAGAATAATGCCATTAGAGAGAAAGGAACCAACAACAGGAAAAAAAAAACTCATGGTAGTAGGTTTAAAACCAGTATATATATATCTCAATATATACAGACATACACAATTCTGCCACATGTAGCGTTTGGTCCTTTAACTCTCCCACCCCTGCATGAAACATGTTTTGAGGTAACAGACACAGAATTTTCAAAATTCAACGGGTGAAAATAATCCACCACCACTTAAGTACTGTACGTCGTTTGGGTGAACTGCTAGAGGTTGGTATAGTATTGTACCTTAATTATATACAGCTCTGGAAAGAGGCTGGGCCAGGCCATGAGGGGGTAAGAGAATGAAATAAAATTACCCCTGAGTATCAAACTGGACACATTTAATGTGACACAAACACTTCACGTTGCTTGAACCGTTGGCGCAAACAAAAACCAGGAACGCTTGGAGCTGTATGATATTCCAAACCTGCACACAGTTAAAAAAAACCCTTTATATTTATATATATTTATATATAATTTATATAGTGCTCTTCTGAGCCAGATCATGGCACGACAACGACATACAAAAACACACACTATGGTTGACAAGCAGAAAAAGGTAACACAAGCCAGTTGTGGTGTCGCAACAGCACTTGTGGGCCTCCTGCGGACGACTGCGTAGGTGTGTTTTGCGTACAAGGTGGGTTTTTTAAAGTAACATCAGCAAACTACTAAAGTAATAATGAAATTGAACTTTTTGGCTTTTCTAGAATGAGGTGGCAACGTACCATGGACCTATCAACTTGGGGGATCGGGCTAATGCTTTGGCAAGGCTGTCACGCAAGGATAATGCCCACAGCTAGGCAGTGGTGATCTCTGAAAGGAAATGACTGCTTTGGTACCTGTTTTTTTGAGATACATTGAACAGGGGGCATTCCCTGTTCTGTGCACACATCTTTGGGTGGGTGTCATTTAGTCAAAGGCTCCAGGATCACGTTTGGCCCCCATCTCTCTAGCTTGATATGGGTCTGCAAGGAGGAGTGTTGCCCATCCCCAAAGTAATTGTCGCGACAGCCATGTGTACACTGGAAAAATCACATTTCATTAGTGCTACCACGAGATTAACCCCACAGGTTTGTCACCAGAGTCCCCTTTAAGCTGAGCGCTTAGGCAAATCTCTCACCCAGAAGAGATTCAGGTACCACCCAGATAATTAGCACAGTCCCCAAAGCTAGTAGCATGTGTTTCTACTGGTGTATTCCACGTCTTGGTGGAATACAATTTATTCCTCACACGGATGGAAAAAACTAGAGGGAACATTAGTTGTCATTCATGATGGTGTAACTATGCCCTTTAGTGGAGTCACTCTGGATTTACACCAGTCTCAGCATCTGCAGTCTAGACAAAAAGACATTAGGCCAGATCCTCAGACGGTACATATCCGCATCGCTCCACTGAGCCCCGGCACCCAACCATCTTTGCCCGAGTGCTCAGTCAGATTAGTTAACTCATGATGCAGTTTCTCACAGCAGACAAACCTTAAGGTGGAAGCATCAAGTCAAGGGGGCAGCTGGCCATTGCAGGTGGGGAACCCCTTTTTGTTCAAGTGCCGATCAGATTCTCAGAGGCCCTGCAGCTCCTACTGGCTCCAGACAGAGATTTCATGGTGCTGCGTGCCTCTGAAAATCATCAGATCTGAAAGATCAAGTGGAAACTGGCATGTGTTTGGGTACGAGCCAGTTTCAGGTGTGCTTTTCTCAAGGGAGGTTTGGAATTTCACTAACCAGAACATCAGAACTAGTTTCATACAGTTGTTGTTTTTTTTAAGTTCTAGGAGCATGCGAATGTGAAATGGATCCTAAAGAGAAAGTAAAAAGGGGATCAGGTCAGTTTCACCCTCCAAGCTGAATGAAGTGCCAAAAAATAAATACACAAAGGAACAGCACCAATGGTGAGGAAAGTATACCAGCTGTTGAAGTGCCCTTTCAAAATTTAATCAAAGGGGAGAGGAGAAGGGACAGACTAATTAGACTAATTAGAATCCATACATGGGATCATTCTCAACAGCAGCCCTTTAAGAATCATGCTCATGTCCCGATGCAGGTGGCATGAAAGCCACAACTCTTAGGTTACATCTGGACTGCAGGCTTCTTTCAGAAGAAGCTTTTTTTGGAAGAGATCTTCTGAAAAAACTTCTTCCGAAAGAGAGCACCCATACTGCAGAAGTGCATCAAAAAAGCGATCTGCTTTTTCAAAAGACAGCATCCTAAGCTGTGATTGCTATGGACAGAATGGTCACCAGGAAACCTGTGCTTTTCCTCTTTCCCGTCCACACGCTCCTTTTTCCGAAAGAGCTCTTTCGCAAAAAGGCTTCTTCCTCATGGAATGAGGATTACCAATGCCGGGAAAAAACCCTCTGTTCTTTTGATTTACTTGTGAAAGAACACAACTGCAGTGTGGTTGTTCAAGTTTTTTCAGAAAAAAATGGCTGTTTTTCTGACAAAACTCTGTAGTGTAGACATACCCTTAGCGAGTACATCTTTAGCCCATGAAAGAGACATGGCTTTTAAAACCAAACTTCAATTTGATATTGTGAAGCAGGCCACACCTATGGGGAGCTAAAGGACAGGAAATCTCTTGTCTACAGTTTAACAAACACTAGACTCTGTCTGGAAGCTAGATCTTGTCACTTGATCTGTCCAGGCAAACCCATGAGGTCATGTGAAATCTTGTTAATTTCCCTGTGACACAGAGGTTGCCTGCACAGACACAGTTGCAAAATCCGCTCCTTGGAGGAACATCAAAAGTCCTGCTTGTTCTGGGGCATCTTGGCTCTGCAGGGACAGTGCAGCATTGGTGACACATCCAAATGTTACAAGGAGTGCCGTGAGACTCAGACAGTACCATGAGACGAGACAAGATAGCCACTCATTGGGGAGATGTGGTTATTTACAAGAAAAGCAAACAAAGACGAAAAAAGAAAGGAAGGGTTGTTCTGCCGGAGCTGGGAAAAAATGCCTCACGTTCACAGAACTCATCTGCTTTCGGGGTAGGCTTTCCCCATTTCACCCAACCACGTTTTCAGACTCTGCGCAAACGTGTCCCACCGTGTGCAGTCCATGCAAGCTGAATTCTCAGGAGAGCCCGAGTTCAGGGATTTTACTCTCTCTCTCACACCCGCACAAAAACTCCAACTTCTGTCTCTGAGGCAGTTTGTGTTAGTTTTTAACCCTTCATGTGCTGTTTTCAAGCTACAGTCAGCTGTAAAAAAAGGAAGAGTCACTTCTCTGGCACTGGGGGGGGAGGCTAAGAATCATCCTAGGAAACATCTCTGCGGCCCTTCACAACGCGTAGTGGTCTTCCTGGGGACACCTGCATGGGTAACATTTCCAAACACAAACCCCATTACGGGTCTGATCCTGCTCTAATTAAAGACAGTGGGATGTCAAAGCAGGATTAGGATCCCTAAGGAATAGATATGGGATGTGTCCGGATGCTAGAGCTCCCCTCTTCATGCTTTTATAAAGGGGGCCAGGCAGTGTGGGCTGAGATGCAGTAATGCATGCTGGGATCCTTGGTCTCCATATATCCCTCTGCATATTGAAAGTAATTGGCGTCTGCTCCCATTTTAGTCACATTGCAGGGTCTCATCCAAAGCCTGTTTAAATCAATGGGGGTTTTCCTGTGAACTGCAACGGGCTTTGGATCAGGTCCTAAGGCTCCAGCGGAGATGCCAACGTGGCCCTACTTGGCTGGGCAAAGTGTGGCCGTGAGTGCTACAACCATCCCTTCTCTTGCCCAAACCTCTCCTGCCTGGCTTGCGAGGTTAGCAGGGTCACCCCAGGACTCGCATGCTTCCTCTTCCCCTTTGGTTTAACTGGCTCTAGGTGAACAGACAGAGAATAGCAGAGGAGGCTTTGGTTTATACAGAGAATTCTACTTCTAAAAAGATCTGACTTCCTCGAGCATGGACGGCTCCAGGTCAAATTCTCATCCTGCCAGACAGTACCAAGAACCACCACATGAACACAGACAGAGGACACCTGCCTCAGGCCCACAGAACCAGCCGTGGGTGACCTAGATCAGAGTTAAAGTGTGTTCCGTGGCACACCAGTGTGTCACAAGGGAGTCGGAGGTATGCTGCGGAGAACAGAGTTCAAAATGGCCACCCTTAAAAGGGCAATGCCTGCTTTTTTTCCCCCCTCCTCAAAAACTTTTCCCAGTCCTTTTTTTTGTTTTTACTTTTGCTCAACCCTTGGTGTTCCACAAACTTTTTTTTTTATTGTTTGGAGTTCCTTGGTCTTAAAACTTAAAGAAACACTGATCTACATAGTGCTTGGTCCTGCTGTGGTGGGAGGGGACTGGACTTGATGCCCTCTCGAGGTCCCTTCCAGTTCTAGTGTGCTATGATTCTATGCTCAGTGCACAGAATGGAGGCTGTACCAGGTAGAACATTAAAAAAAAAAAAAAGCGAGCATGAGTAGAGAGACAGGCAACTGTTCTAGGAAGAAGGTTTCAGCTTGAGAGGATACTAAAACCGTGGTGGCAGAGACTCTGGAAGGTAACAGTGTTAAAGTTTAAGCTCTCACACCTGCTGCCAAGGAACTGGCCAGTGCAGGACATGCTCTGGCAGAACAGCAGCGTGCCCCGAGTCTGAAGTATCTGAAATACTGATGGTGCTTGAAGCATCCTCAAGAGAAGCTTTCAGCCAAACTCTGCCCAAAGTGAGCAGGATTCTCAGCTAGAGAGCTAAGGAAGAGAGAAAAAGGATCCCTAACACTTTTGGGAACACAAAATAAAGGGGATGGGGGAACTGTTTTTGAAATAAAAGAAGTGTTACAGTCCCCCCAAATTTAACAAAATCCCCAGGAGAACCTGGATGTATACAGCCGACGCAGCTGCTGAGGGATTCGAAGTTGAAACGAGGGGGTTAAAAAGATCAGTGACAGACAAGGGTCACAGAGACAAAAGCGAGAGCTAGCACCCCAGAGATGGATGGAATAGAAGCCTTCCCTAATACTTCTAGCATACCCTTTGTTGAGGACACACAGTAATAAAGCAGTAATGCACAATTCCGGGCTACCTTCATACAAACGTACAAACAGCATCTGTAAACTTTGGTTTAAAACAATAACTTAAAAGTGCAAAGAAAGCAAGTGATGCTTGGGGGGCGGGGGGGGGATCTTTTTTGGCTGGCAGGGGGGAAAGAGCAAAGGGAATGTGCACACACACAAAAGTAGTTTAAAAGGAAAAAGTTTTGGTTTATGCTTCTGGCCTAGGAAAAGGTCTTTGGTCAACTGTTAAGCTAATTGCAAAAGCGTCAGTAGAAGGAGCTCAGGAGGGATTTTAGTGTGTCTCAAGGATAGGCCAAGTGTGCATGTGAGGGAAACCTGGTTAGATTCGCAAAGGCCCCGAATTTCTAGCTATCTCTGGAATTGAATCGTGCCAGACAGAACGCAAAGCAGCTCAAGAAGGCAGCTGAGGTTTAACTCTGCCCTTCTACGCTTCATCAGCAGGTTGTCTATCAAACTTGGTCACCTTTGTATTTTTACAGGGGTGGGGACAAGGGATCACGCTTGCTTTGCCTGGCTATTCCAATCCCTCTGCCCGACTCCAATTTAACTGGAGACTGAGTAGTATGAGGAATTCTACTGCCTCAAAGCAGCTCAAGAAGGCAGCTGAGGTTTAACTCTGCCCTTCTACGCTTCATCAGCAGGTTGTCTATCAAACTTGGTCACCTTTGTATTTTTACAGGGGTGGGGACAAGGGATCACGCTTGCTTTGCCTGGCTATTCCAATCCCTCTGCCCGACTCCAATTTAACTGGAGACTGAGTAGTATGAGGAATTCTACTGCCTTCTCAGGGTAGCTTCTTCCCTCCCAACCCACCCAGACAGAACTTTCCAATCTCTCTGCAACTTCAGAGAGACGTGACTGCCAAGCAGTGAAACTGGGAAAACTCACATGTTCAGTGGAGACATCTAGTGTTTGCTCTGGGGAATGCTGGTAGCAAATCTGATCTGGAACCGTGGCCTTTCTTTCATGAACTCCAGCCGCAAGAATAAAATAAGAGACTGTTGTTCACTCTCTCCCTCCCTTCCACCCCCCCGCCCACACCAGACTTTGTCTAGACTGGATAAATGTCCACTGTAAAGCAAGCAGAACATAGATCTCGGGGGCACAGAATTTAACAGACTGAGAAGGGAAATTTTGGTGCGAGGTGCATGACGTTCATCCGTTACTGGGGGCAAGCCAGTTGCTCTCTGCTCTTAAATAGCCACCCAAGGTGTTGAGAACCTGGGAGCAGGAGTGCAGAGCAGACTAAAAAGCTGGGTTATATACCAGTTAGCACTCAACGAGTGCCTTTAAAAAGCACCAGACACTGGGCCAGCAGTGTGAAGCAGATAACACTGCAGTTCTACTGCACTTTTTCATTTTGGGATCTCCAAGAGCAGCTGCAGCAAAACAGGATAGCACGGGGCAAAGGGATGGGTCTGAGTACTGTATTCTAGTGTGGTCCCTTGCTTATGGATGGGCAGGGAATACAGTGCGAGAGAATTGCTAGTTTCACTCCGCAGCGACCCCTCCGGCCAATCCCGGCATTGCGCTGACGGGTTCTGGGAAGGGACTCATCCTCTTTTTGGCTTGATCAGAAGATCAGCTGTTGCGCTAGTAGGGTGGGGGCAGGCAGCCACGGGAGCAGGGAACTCCAGGGCCCAGCTGTGGGTGGAAGGAGACTCTGTAAAGGGATTTAACGCGGAGGACAGATCAGCTGAAGGCTCTGACATACCTAACCCGGAGGCCTCTTCTAGAACAATTCAGTCTGGGCTGGGCAGAGGGACCGCGGGCCAGCAGCAACCCGCCTCCTCAGCAGAGAAGGGGCGGCAGTTTGGAAGCAGGCTCTGGAGGAGAGGTCATCGCACACTCTTGGCTACGGACTGTCTATTTCCGTGAGGGAGCCCAGCTCAAAGCTTAAATGTGGGCACAGGAGGAGGGCTCTAAAAGCACCCGCTGCCATTAAGGAGTGGGGGGGAGGAGGGTGTAGATGCAGCTATGCCCAACCCATTGACTTCACCTCATCCCTCTCAATCCCCCAATGTTCTTCTCAGCCTTGATCCCCGCTTGCCCCAGGCGGAAGCCCCTTCCCTCCGGAGCTCCATATTGCATTCTTATAGGGGAAAGACGGCAAAGCGAGATGAAAACCGAGTTACGAGGAGCGCCGAGTTGTTTGCCACAAGCCCCCGGAGTGGGGGGTGGGAGAGCGGATTGGTTCAACAGAGAAATCCCTGGCCCATCTGTGACTTGGTCCCCATTTCATACCCCCTAGAGCGGGCTAGAGCTTTTAGCTCCAGACAAACAGGCGAGGGAGAGGGGATTGGTCGTGAGGGGAGAATTTGTGCATGCTTGGATCCGGATCCAAACGGTGAGCCGCAGGGGCCCCCTGACCACCCAGAATTTTCTGACGTCCCTCAGTGGCACATGGTGTCGGCCACAGGAGAGTGGGGGGAAAACCAGCACCGAGAGGAACAAATGAAAACGGGTGTGGCCACGCCAATGGCCCCTTGCAGCCTGCATCATTAGGAGCCATCCAGCAGCTGGAGCTGGACTTAATGCTGCATTCAGCTTGGCTTCTGCAGTTTGCCTTTAGGGGATGGAAGGGAGGGGAGAGAAGAGGTGGGGGGAGAGAAAATGGGGGTGGGAGAAAGGCTGAGGCGAGGTGAGACTCAGACAGGGCTTGTGCTCCTTGGAAGGGTGAACCCACTGCCCTGGGAGAGGTGGAGCATGTTTGTCCTAGAGAGGCACCAGAAGACTAAACCCTCACACACCCATCTGCCTCAGTTTCCCCACACTCCCAAAATGGGATCCAATCGGATAACCAGACAGCCCAGCCTGCCAAAGTCTCGTGGGTGCTGTGGGAGGGGTATCAATGACCCATCCTGGAGGCTGGACAGAGGTACCTTTGGAAGTTTGCTGCTTTCTGCAAAGAGAAAAGCCCTTGGGCTGCATGACATGAGGTAACGCACACAAACAACCAATCAACAAAAATCAAGAGGGGAGAGAGAAGGGGTTTGGTGTTTGGATTTTTTTTTCTTTTTTTTCTTTTTTGGCATTAATACCATCTGTTCACCTGAACTATGGACCTTCTATCCCTAAAAATCTTTTGGTATCTTCCTGTCTTGACAAAAAACAGCTGGCGTCCAGCTCGCTGTGACTCGGGGCCCAAGTCTCTGGCGTGACGAGGGGGGTGGGACTCCACGCTGCACGCTGTCCAAGTCAGCTGGAGCCGAGTGCCTGGGTCTAGCTCAGCTCTGGCTGGCCACAGCAAGCTTACAGTACGTATTGCTTTAGGATGGTCCTGGTCAGCTCCTGTTTTGGGTCATCAAGTTGAGCCAATCCCCCACATCCCCTCCGTTTGATTCAGCTGTCTCATCCTGCTCAGCTTGACTAAAAGGATCCAGGACACGTGACTACTTAAGCCAGAATGGTCCAGTGGACGTGTCTTCCATTCACCACTCTTTACTTAAACGCTCAGCACCTGGGAAGGGAAGAGGGCGGCTTCCCAAAGCCATGTTCAGTGTTTCATCCCATGAGAACTTTTCATCAACCCAGAACGGGGATGGAAGGGGAGCTGGGAGGAGAAGGAACTGGATACAACGTTCGGCAGAGGAGGACTCCTCAAGTCAAACCGGTGTTCGGTCCTCATTTCAATCTCCAGTGCCCAGGCGCTGGCTTCTATCTGGGCTCTGCTGCTGTCCTTCCGACATTTCCACCACACAAAACGGGGTGGGAGAGATGTCCTTTTCCTTTTTCAAGGGCAACCAAGCTCCAGGCCAGAGCATCCACCCCTGCTGTTGAACATTTGCATTTGACTGGGTGAAGTGGACCACCCGTCACCATGATGCTAGCGTGCGTGCCACTGGAGTCAGAAAGGAGGAAGAGCACAGGCTGGCTGTTCTGTTTTCCAAGTGGTTTAGCATTTGGTGGAGGCAACAGCGTGATGGGGCTGGTAAAATTAAGCCAAGCTCAGGCTCCCATGGACGCAACCGGTTCTTTCCCTCCATAGCCAGGAAAGGAACCAAGATGGGGATGAGTAGAACTTCAAGGCCCATCCTGGAGGTCTCATTTCCAGCTGCTGATGGAATACCTGGAGGAGGTATCTGTGAGGCGAAAAGTTTCTCCTAGTGCAAAGCCCACTGAGGGGAGAATGACCGATGGGTTCCTGGCATCGCAGAGGATTTTTTCCAAAAAGGAGGCGGGGAGGCCAGGAAGGGGGGACATTCACGGAGGCGTGTAGCTCTGACGTGGACTCTGCCGTGCAGAACGTTGCTTGGTAAGAACGGAGTAGTCACGTCACCGCTAGAAAAGCCCAGAGCAGGGCCCCAAACCCACCCAAAATACTGAGAAAACAAACGTGTGCCACGGAGTTGTAAAACAGAGTGAGGCGTAAGGAGCAATTTTCGGACAGAAACAACCTACCATCCTCGTTCACCAATCACTAACCAAAGAGGGAGGGATTTTGTTGTTTGTTTCTCTGCACGCCCCCCTTCGTGGGAGTCCGTTAAGAGTCACTGGGACAGAGCTGGGGGAGTGGTCCAGGGGAGGAGCGGCGTGCCTTCAGCAACAGGTTGCACTGAAGAAACCCTTTTGCTTTGTCAGGGTAATGCCGAAGGTCACCTTGAGGAGTTGGGAGCCGTCGCTTGGTCTCCGACTGAGGGTGGGGGGCAGGGGCGAAG